AATTTAAGTGAATTAATTAATTAAACTAATTAAAGAAAAAAATTGACTTGACTTTAAATGATACTAAGAGTTAGAATTTTAAGATATTTTGATTTCAGCATAGTTAATTAATGTAAAATTTAAATTAATATATTTTTTAAATTTTTATTATTTATTTATCTGATAGTAAAATTTTTTATACTATTTGATATATTTTTTTAAAAATTATATTAAATATATCTTTATTTGTTAATTTATATATTTCTATATAAATTTAAATTATATTTTGTAAATTTCTCTAATTTATATTAAAAATTAAATTTATTTACCACTAATATTATATGAATCATATTAATTTATCTCTAATTTTTATTTAATTTATGATATATATTACTAAAAATTAATACATAAATTTTCCTGTAAGATTATAAAAGCCCTCAAGTCTGATTTTAAATAAGCATTTGTAGAATTTAAAAAATTTTATTAGAAAATAAGTGAGACACGTAATAATAATAAAAACTCTTGGAAGCTGGAAAGTGCTTTCAAGTGTCAACAACCAACAACACAACGTAGGTATTTATTTCACCGGCACCTATTTTCCAAAGGCTTTTATCGCATGGTGTGGGCACCACAACGTAGGGGTAGATACCAAACCCGTGTCGGGTTTTTGGATCTTTTTTGCAATTTCTTCAATGGTTAAATGGTAAATTTGATCCTCCATCTTCTATATGATTAGTACTTTGATCTTATAACTTAGAACTCATTCATTTAGGTTCCTAAAAGCAACCTTTTTTTACTGCAATTGAGTCCCTCTTTTAAAAAATATTTAATTAAATTAAAAAAATTTTATTATTATACATTTAAATCTTTTTTTACGTAAAAAATAAAAATTAGATAAATTTATTAAAAATTACACCTTATCTAAGGTCAGCGACAGTGTATGATAAGGGGGTTGCCACCCCTGAACTTTTAAAAAATATCAAACATAGTATATAAACTTTTTTATTTTACATTTTTTTAAGTTTGGAATTATGGAACTAGTCAAAGTATACTAAAAATATTTAAGATTTAAGTAAAAGGATCAATTCTCACTTTGTGACTAATTTAAGTAACAAGTATAAAATATAAAAAACAGTGTCTATCAGTCTTACCTCCTAAAAATTAAAAGAAAAATCATTCCAAAACTATATCGTTTCAATAAATTTTTATTAAAAAAAACTAAACTATTTTATTTTTAAAGTATGCATGAAAGTGATTTTTATCCTTTTTTCTCTTAATTTTTTAAAGGTAAAGCGAACAAACACTTACTCCTTTATAATCAAACTTTAGTTATATTAATGTAATTTGTGTAAATTTTTATATTAATTATGGTAGTAAGGTAAATTTCACACATAAATATAAACAGTGCACAACAAATTAATATGTAAAGTAATTAAATATAAATAGTTATTTTATTTATTATCAATTAATTTTAAATTAAATATAAAGTTTATATTAAAACTTATACATATTTAACTTTTACATATTTATTTATTTTAAGAGGATAATGCCTAACAGTTTTATTTTACCTCCTAAAGATTAAG